TCCCATTTTTTTTCATCATTTTCCCTGCTTTTGATCATTATGGGCCTAATTTACTGTTGTTTTTCTAGCATCTGAAGGCAGAAACTTAGATTGCTGGCTTTAATAACTTATTTTTTCCAAAGTTGATATTTGTTTATCTATTGAATTTTTTTGTGTGTAGTTGTGAACCTGTATGAATGTATGTGCACTGTGTATGTACAGGAGTCCACAGAGGCCAGAAGAAGGTGTCAGATGCCCTGGGACTAGAGTTACAGGTGCTTGTGAGGCACCGTGTGGGTGCAGGGAGTCTAGCCCAGGTCCTCTGCAGGGGCAGTCAGTGCTCCTAGTCAGCGAGCCCTTTCTGCAGCCCCCAGGAGATTCCTTTTTAATAGAAGTGGTTGAGGCTGTGCCTATATCCTTAACTGGCTTTGCTTTGGATCTCGAATTCTCATTTTCTTTAGGTTTTCACTGTTTTTCAGTTCAGATTAATTTCTATTTTCCTTTTATTTATGGATATATGTAGTATGATCAACTTCTAAACATTGTTGCATTTCCTAAGAGCTTAACGTATTCACTTTGAATGAATTTGTTTTGGGTAGATTTGCTTTATAGTACTTTAGCAGGTGTGGGAGACGTTTTGTGGAGCCTTGTATGTCCATCTTTGCTAATGTTCTGCTTTGGCTAGTTAGAATAGTTACTGTGGCTAATGTTCTGTATTTTTCATTTAGATTAGATTTATTGACAGTGTTGTTCAAATCTCCTATGTCTTTATTGATTCTTTCTGCCTTGTCCATCTATAACTTTGTAACTAAAAGGAGGTCTAGTTTTTGCTTTAGTTATTTGAAAGCTCTATTATTAGATATACATGTTTAGGATGGTTATACCTTCCTTGTGAACTGACCCTTTTATTGTTTTGAATTGTTCCTCCACGTTTCTGGTGAACTTCTCATTTTGAGGCCTGCCCGGTGCTGGTATAGCCACATGAGAGTCTTGTGCCTAAGTCCGATGGGATCTGGACTCACAGAAGAGCTGGTCTTCTGATCACGTCTGTGAGGCACTGTATAGCTGAGCTAATTGAGGTGGGAAGAGCCACACTACATGTGGGCAGTATCACAGCATTGGCTGGGGGCCCAGACTGAATGAGAAGGGAAGAGGGAGCTGAGCATGGACACTGATATTTTTCTGCTTCCTGACCGTGTTTTAATGCTCCTAGCTGCTTGGAGCTCCTGCAGCCTTGACTCCCCACCATAGTGGACTGGACCCTAGAAGTAGACAACAAAATAAACCTTCCCTTAAGTTACTTTTGCCAGGTGTTTCATTGCTACAATTAATACACAGTTTTCATATAATGAAAAAGTCCCTTTTCTTTTTACTCCACCTCTCAAACCTGGATGAAATCCCAGACCTTGTGCATGTTAAACAAGCTCATTGAGCCACACCCTCAGTCCCGCAGATCATCAAACATCAACTTCATTATATTTAAAGTGGGTCAGTAGACATTTACCTGTGTCTTGTTGTTTTATCCAGTTTAATCTTTGCAGTTTGATTGGCTGCTGAATTTATACATGGCATAATTGCACCTTTGACTGAGATAAGGCTCTACATTGACTTTTCCCATGCTTGCTACATATAATTTTTTCCAAATTAATTTATATTCTTGTATACTTTTGGATAAATGAAGTGGAATTATTTTCTGTAATTCTATTGTTTAAATTCTCTTCAGTTTTACCTCCTGGTATTCTTATGTTACTGCCTTAGGTTTTATAATATGTTTTTTTAGCTTTTCAAAGTCTTCAAGTTAATTTTTTAAAATTTTCGTATAAATTATTTTCGGGTTTGATTGGTATTTACTTAGTATTCTTCTTTATTTATTTGTTTGTTTGTTTGTTTGTTTGTTTATTTATTGTGTATACAATATTCTTTCTGCGTGTATGCCTGAAGGCCAGAAGAGGGCACCAGACCTCATTACAGATGGTTGTGAGTCACCATGTGGTTGCTGGGAATTGAGCTCAGGACCTTTGGAAGAGCAGGCAATGCCCTTAACCACTGAGCCATCTCTCCAGCCCCCCTTAGTATTCTTCTTTAGCCACTTTATGGATTATAATATATTTTCTTAATTTATGACATTTTTCTCCAAGTAATGTCAGTACAACTGAGTGTGCCTGCGTGAAGATAGGTTGCTCATGGTCATCTTTGCTACAGAACATGTTTGAGGCCCTCTCCTGAGACAGGAGCTAGACGAGCACTGTGTAACATAAAGTTAAGATCTTTGCAACAGTGTAGCTCCATTTGGCATTTACCATACTCCATATATTGGGATAGACTTTCACTACAATACAAGGGCAATCTTATGAAACACTGCTATATAATATATTCAGTTGTGTTTTAAATTAACCAAGAAAGCAATCTTTCATGTTTAGTCACATATTTTTTCTTTCTCCAGTGCTTTTTCCCTGTTTAGATCTCTGTGTGTGTGTGTGTGTGTCTTTTCTTTACCCTAGGAATTTTCTTCTGTATTTTGCTGTGGTGTTTACGTCTTGGTGATATCTTTTCTCATGCCTCATTTATTGGGAATGCATGTCTTTCTCTATATTTTTACTGATGTGACACTATTTTCTGAAGGCCTTAAAAGATACTGTTATTTTCTGACCCTGTTTTTCTGTGAAGAGAAATCTCCCATAGTTTCGCTAATGTTATCACTTCATTCTTAGGCAGCTTTTGTGATTTCCTTTTAATCTTTTGTAATTTATCTTTAAGTCTTTATTCTTGCCTGCCCCATAAATATTAACGCCCCAGATTGAAGTCCACAGAGCAGTAGGCAGGGACATGGACTCTGGCCTCATCTGCCCGATTTTATTCCCTTCTGCACATTTTACAGTTGTGCATCTCAGCGACACTCCTCTGAGCTTTGTTTTCTTCGTGTATAACATGGGTTGGTGTTAACTGCTTTACTGTTAGGATTATGTGCTTTAATATACAATATACCCAGAAAACACAGCATCATATAAATGCTATTACTGTATTTTATCAATCACCATGTAACTTTCTTTTCACGTTCTGTCATTTCTCATGTTGACGGCCTTTGGTGATTGCTTCATGCCTGCAGCAAAGTCAGGCCTTTCTGAGAGCTCTCTGTTGTTTCCCAAGTACTTGGGGACATTTCGAACCCAAGGCAACTTCCACTAAATTTTCTTTCAAGTTCTTGGGACTATTCCGGCTGTATGAATTCAGAGTGGAAAGCTGCAAGAATGCCTACTTGTGGTTCATGCTAATAAGAAGGTGCCCCAATTCCATCTCCTTCTGCCAAGGCAAAAGTTGATAGATGCATGTTTCTTTCTAAATCATGAAATTTTCAGCTGCATTTAAAGAAGACTTGTTTCCTTGAAGTATCAGTGTTATGTAGAGCTTTCTCCGTAGACTTCAGTTCCTTTTCTGCAGTTTGTTTTGATTATTTATTTCTTTTTTTAATACTTACATAAAACAACACATTTTACTATTAGTGGATTGTTGGATTATTTGAATCAGTGGTTCTCCGCATTTTTACATAAGAGAATCTTTGAGTAATCCTTTAAGAACTTGGATTTCAGGTTCTGCCTCATGCCGGTTAAATCACACACTGGGTGTGTGACCCATGTATTGACACTTGGGTTTAGTTTGTAAGTTTGGGACTCTCTGGTTTGCAGAGCTTTAAAAATGGCATAGTCCAGTGAGAACAAGGAGTGAGACGGGAAAGGAGGCAGCTGACATATAATGCTGCCATTTTGAAACTTTGGCAGAAAAACAGCAAATTATAGGTGTTTAAGAATACATTTAAAGCAAGACAGTGGAGATGGGGATACAGTCTGTTTACTAAGTTAAAGCACAGAGAGGGAATTGGGAGATAGATTGAACTACAAAGTGTGACATCTCCTCCCAAGCAGACTGTCATACCTTTTCCAAGAAAGTGAAAGTCATCAAAAATGAAAGGATTAATGAAAAGAAAAATTGTGAAAGAGGCAAAAGGGAGTGGGGTTAGAAGAGAGACAGATGAACCGTTTCAGGGAAAGAAGCCTGTAGGTCTAAGTTCAAACCTGGAATGCCAAAAAGGCAGATGAGGTAAAAATAGCCTTAAATAAATCAGCCTTGCCTTAATCTTCCCTGTAGAAGGGAAAGGACTGTGGGTTTACTGAACGACACTGGTTCACGGGTGTCAGTGTTTTAAAATCTATATGGAGAGCTGCCCCTCTTCCATTTTCTCCACATGAACACCAGCATTTCATGGGTTAAAGGTAGGGCCATGGAGTTAGCATTTCTAAATCTATTATTCCAGGTGACTCTAACCATGTTCTAGAATTAGCCAGTAGTGCTGAGGAGATGCTTCGTAATGTCTTCCAGAGGAAGAAGTGAAGATAAAGAGATGGGTGACAGGATCCCAGTGTAGCAGCCAAGGCCCATGGGATGCTAACCATCAGAGCTTTGGTTCTCTGTAGCCAGTCTGTAAAGCCTGTAGACCACATGGACAAACATCGCTGAATGTAGGATTAGAAGTCGCAGTACGGGAAGTCAAACGGGGAAGATCCAGTCAACAGATGAGAGAATCAGGGAAGTGAAGTCCTGTGTTCAGCAGGACATAGTCAGGAGGAATCCAGATCTGAGGCAGAAATGCTGGGATCAGATACTTGAGAATCTCCTGTGAGGCGGGATGGTGTGAGAAGTGGCAGGTGGATTAGCTGTGTGCAGAGCACTGAGGGCATTAGAAACCTGAGGCTGCTTTTCAGAATATAAGAGAAGTAAATAGAATTTTGGAAGTGGGGTTTGTGAGGAACGTCAGATCTACAACAGCGAGAAAGGAGTCAAGGATCAAGGCTACACAGTGGAGCAGGAACAGACTGTGGGGTATCTAGCTCTAGTCTGAGTACTAGCGATGCATGGGATACTTAGGGCCTGTCCATGTGTAGTGCCTGTACTATGGGACGGTATGCGATCCGGGAACTAGGCTGGAGACTTAAAAATACACGCATACAAACAGACAGAGACGCGGGGACACGGGTCATCCTTGATAGAAGAATGCCAAGAATGCCCACTTTATTGTGTTCGGGGGCAGCTTATACAGTGCTCTGGCCACGCTCCAGCCCCCGGATCCTTCTGCTGCAGCCACCAGAAACCACTCCTCTGTCTGTGCTCAGAGCAGCACCAAGCATAGAAAACAAATTGTTTATGGGAAATTCAGGGTCTGGTGGTCCACAGCCCCCAACATCCATGCTTTAAAAAATCTGGTTTTTAAACTTGGTGGAGTTTTCTGTAATTTTTCTTCTAAATCTTGCGGCCATAGTAGGAAATGATCCTGTTAAGAAGGGAACAACGGAAGAGGCTGGGAGAAGCTGGGCAAGCCATTCCAGCAAGGCAGAATCCCCTGAGAACAATTCTAAGTTACCCCAAGGACTGGTTATTGAGCTCCGAGTGCAGCCAGGAGTCACCACAATGCCCTGAGCGAATGGGAGGTGGGAAGAATTCCCATGGGATGGAGCCCTGCCAACCTCATCCTAACTTAGCAGAGGAGGTCTGCCAGCCACTTTAACCAACTTACACTAGCTTCTGGAGGATGGCTTAATCAGAGTACAGAAGTGGCAGGATTGGAAGTCTCTTGGTTTCCACTTGCCAGTTTCTAGTACCGTATCTGTATAGTTTCACCATTTCTTCTTGGAACCTCATCTGTTGAAAGGAAGGGAGAAGATTGGTGAATAAATATTGTGTACGTTGGGAGTGTATCTGTGAAGCATTGCAGAAAAGCATGTCAGGATATAAAAACAGAGGTAGAAAACCAGGCAGATAAATGCTGGAATGTCATTTCAGTACAGAATTTATTACTGTGTGTTTCTTTTTGTTCTCCCCATATTTGAAATAACGTTTTTGTGTTCTGTTTTGATCTTAATCATTAAACGCAGAAATATCTAGTGTCTTTCATGAAATGGATAACAACTGCTTTTTAATTTCTCTGTTAACATTTCTTAGAACCTTTGAGTTTGGAAATGTAGGATATTGGAGAAATAATTTTAGTCATTAGAGAAGGAAGTTGAGCAGGGAAAACTTCAAAGGCGGTGATGGGGACACCTGCTGCGATGTAGCATAGACTCAGAGCCCAGGGATTTTGGCAGCAGTTTCAGTGGTTTTCGTTCAATTCCTCGTATCCCAAATGTGGAGCACATGCCAGTTTTCTTCTCTAGGGTGCTACTAATGGCATGTAATGAGTGGCGGTTTCCTAGCAACAGGAGAAGCGGTTCACTTTAGCTGATCCTGCCATAGCAATGAGACATTTCCCCTTGATAGTCAGCATTAGTGATTTCCCTGACAATGGAATTTTACTTTTGAGTAAGGAATGTTCTCAGCCCTCAGCTTCCTAAAGAATCTTGCCTTTGAGTTGGGCCAAACTCTGCTTAATCCTGTATAAAATGAAAAAAGAAAATGTTTGAACTCCCCTAAGTACCTCTCATGGGAAGAGCCAAAGGAGTTCCATACATAGTTTTTCAAACTGCAAGCGATTATACAAGAAGCTCTGCTAGGAGTGTTTTTCTCAGTGTTTAATAGGATAATTAACATCTGAGTTCTGTATTTAATGTTTGCGACAATAGAGGTTTATTAGGTAATGACTAATGTGTTGTGGAAATAAAAAGATATAAAACTTTATTACCAGCACTGTTTCCCTATAAAGTCTACATAGCAAACACATGCACTATTCAGTAGATGCAAACTGTTGTCTCTATCAGAGCCAGGATTATCCTGAAGAGCACAGGCAGGCACCTATTGGAGTTCACCTTAAGGTTAGTAGTTGTAAATATTTGCATTTAACCATGTCAGATCCTAAATTCTTCCTATTGGAGAGTAGTGGTAGCTGTGGAAATCAGTGACTGTCCCGATTTGTGGAGGTAAGGAAACATTGTAACATATGACTTTCTTTGTAGTCATTCATAGGCAGCCACTTTGTAAGAAAAATATCTATTTTTCTCCTTTTGACATTTAAGTAATATAAAACATTTTGTTATTCTGTAGTTTCAAAGGTTCTTGGACAGCTAGACAAAGAGATACAATATTAAATGATATTTTAAGAGAATTAAGTTACTATATGTAAGTCCAGGAAAATGTATTGCCTTGCAGGGACGGGTTCTCTGAGGATGTGTTCACTGTGAAGTCACTGGATGTCCTCATGTCCAGTCTCGGGTGTTTGACCGTATTCATTCCTCCTTGTGCTTTTTACTTTATCAGGTACTCTGCGTATTTAAAAGTCATTCTGTGAGTCACTGTGCAGCATTAGAATTAAGAACTCTACAGTCCATCCCTCTACCAGCTGGGCTATGGAAGTACCAGACATGGTTTAGCACCCAGAGACACAGGGAGTGTGCCCAGGCATCTCACAGGCGTCCTCAATAGCGCTTGTTAGAGCTGGTTAAAGTCCAGGTGTCCCACTCAGCGGCTAGCACCACACGCTATTCTGGCAGAACGGTAACTCTTTAGGTAGAAAACAAAAAAGGAGAGATTGGGTTGGGAGAAGCCACAAGGGTCAACTTGGGGGTAACGGGTGGTGTGGGCAAGGAAGCAGAAGACAAAAACATGTTTTTACGTATGTCATATGACATTTAGCCTAAAACAGAAAAAAAAAAACCCAAAAAGAATTAAGAATACTGATTCATTTGGACAGAGAGTGGTCTTTCAGGTACATAAAAGTTGTACTTGAAAGAAGATTTTAAAAACGTAGAGCGTGGTTTCTAGATCAGCTGGCTCAGTCACTCTGTTAGATTTCTTTGAGAAATAATCTAAGGCTAAAGAGTCAGTTGGACTGAGCCTAGTTTTGAGTTTCCTTTTCTTCTTGAAAGTATAGGTTAGAAAAAGACTATAAAATGTAGTAAGGTTGGAACTTAGAGACCGCCTGGCTGGTGGGATCACTCTAGGATAAAGATGTAGTCTTATTTAGGTTCCACCTTAGAGAAGGAACCCTGCGGTCGGCTTCCGAAGAACCAGCTGTCAGAGGAGTTAGAGCATCCTCTGGCTATTAACTGCTATGATTTCCTCCTCCTACAATGCCCTTCCCCTGTTAATTATCAGAGATGACTTCCATGAGAGCCTTCAGATCACAGTGATGAGAGGGCTTGTATGTGTTTCTGAATGCTGTTCTGCACAGTTGCGTGTTGCTGTGCTGGATTCTAGGACCACAAGCTACTGCAGGTTTCAGGCTGGCGTCAACTGTTTTCAAGTCATTTCTGCCAAATTGCTTTACCACTAGAGCAGATTGCCCGCCTTTCCTTCATCAATCTATGTCTGTCTCCATCAGGGCAGGATAGAGACCCCGTTTAGCTAGTGAAACTCCTTACTGAGCTGACGTTTTAGGTGGGCCATTTTTAGCAAGGAAGTGACAGAAACAAGCAGAGTGATCAGATGAGGACAAAGGAGTCCCTGGCTCAGGGGAGGCCACCTGCTGTCATTCTGGCCCTGCTGCTCTGTGTCACCTGGCTTCACACCCGTCCCACCCTGGGCTCCTTTAGAGATGAGGGTACCTTAATCTTCTTGGCTGTGATGTTTTCCTAGGTCTTAGGTCTTCTGAGAGGCACATCTGGTGCCACCCTGCACAGCAAAACTCACGTCTCCTTATTCTGTTCGCACACTAGGTGTCAGTAGCTGTTTCTTCGCGCTGACTTCTGTGGCAAGGTTGACTGTCTTACCTTGTCACCAAGGCTTCTACTGCAGAACTCTTCACTGCCATATTATGTTCCTTACCCTGGGTCTTTCCCATATTTCCCAGCCTAAAGTGTTCACTTGTCTTGGGTATAATTCCAGTGGCAAATATCTTCTGAGCTGTTGGTAGGCCTTCCCAGCCTTTGATCTCAAGGTGTAGGTTTGCTTCCCCATTGAGCAAGGGAGATTAGAGGAAAATAGACAGTGCGTTCTAGTGCCTGGTCTGAATGCAGAGACAAGACAACAACAAAATACAGGGAAATCAGTTCCTATTGTGGCTTCATCTCTGCAAACCTTCCCTTGTTCCTTCTGTCTGTGTACCAGTGCAAAGTAATGACACAGCGCTAATGGATGCCATTGCATGCAAGTGTTGGCTGAAACTGTAGCTCTAATGTGAGTGGGTAGCAGATCTGTTTTTTTTTTTCAAAGAAAAATGATAAAAATGACAGACTCCCATTTAATGAAGTCCAATAGTTAAAATTAGTGTAAAACAAAGTGTTAGAAACTGCCACAGCATGGAATATCCTGATTGAAGCAGGGTAAAGGAGTAGATAACTCATTAACAGTAGAAACTGGTAAGGCTAAAATAATTTTCCTTTGAAATGAATCAACCTAAGAAGAGACTCATTGTGAAACCTTTCGAATAGTCCATCTCCCCTTGGATATGTCCAGAAGATGGCCTCAGTTTTCCCGTCACCTTTTTCTGGGTACAGATGTTGAAGAACAGCTGGGAATGGTTTGAGCTGAGTCTGTGCAACAGGGGCCATTGTTTGTCCACCGCAGTGGTAGTGGAGACGCCCTCATGAAGGTCATGCAAGATTACTTGCTGGAGATGGGGTCCCTGGTGGACAGGCAAGGGCTTACCTTGTTTCTAGGTGCAGATGAGGGATCAGAGACTAGAGTCAGATGTCTCAAGGCTGCTGGCATTCCTCAGTCTACATGGAGTTTGAGCAGATCATGATGATTGGGGCCGTCATAGGACTGCTTTTTTCTACTTGGCAGATACACTGATTTCCATGTTTAGTGTTTCTGAAATTAGAGTCAATCAATTTCATCCCAGCATCACCTCAGGGTCACTGTTAGCATTTTCTTTTAATTTTAGCTTTTTTTTTTTTCTCTCTGCATGCTGCACAAAGTAGTGAGTTTATCCTAAGCCCGCCCGTGGCTTTTAGCTCTATGATGAGGTACAGCATCTTTTTCTAGTTATTTAAATGCTGACAGACATATACTTTGATCTTTATTGCTTGCTGCTTGGTTCCTGTTGCTTGGAGAGTCTGAGGGAGGAATGATTTATTTGTCTTACTCTTTCACATCATAGTCTATTATCAAGGGAATCCAGGGCAGGAGGTCCAGCCAGGAACCTGGAGGCAGGAACTGAAGTAGAGACCTTAGAGAAAGGCTCCTGACTGGCTTGCTCCCTCTGGCTTCCCAGCACACTTCAACTTCTTCCTTTCCAATTTATGTCACCTTGGTCTCCTTCAGGTGTCTTATTGGTCTGGCTCAGAGTTCAAGTACTGTGTTGAGTAGCTGTGGAAAGAGTAGACAACCTTGTCTTGTTCCTGATTTTAGTGGGCTCTCTCTGGGTTTTTCTCCATTTAAGTTGATGTTGGCTTTATGTTCACTTTATTATGTTGAAGTATGTCTCATGTATCCCCAATCTCTCCAGGACTTTTATCATGAAGGAGTGCTGGATTTTGTCAAAGGCCTTTTCTGTATCCAATGAGATGATCATGTGAGTTTTTTCTTTCAGTTTGTTTTTATAGTGGATTACAGTGATTGATTTTCATATATTGCATTCTTCCTGCATCTCTGGGATGAAGCCTACTTGATCATGGTGGACGATCTTTTTGATATGTTCTTGGATTTGGTTTACAAGTATTTTATTGAGTGTGTTCACATCTATATTCATAAGGGAAATTGGCCTGTAATTTTCTTTCTTTGATGAGTCTTTGTGTGGTTTGGGTATCAGGGTAACTGTGGCCTCATAA